AAAAAAAAAAAAAAAGGAAATTTGCAGTTTGAAAAAAGTTCTACATGTTTTGGCAAAAAAAGGAACGTGAAAATCACTTATTAAAGAATTTTGAGAGCTGTAAAAACAACTCACAAGAGCAAAGAAAACACCGCATCCCTTACTACAATAAAAACATTTTGAAACGTTAAGATCAATCTCTATTGATGCAAAATTAATCTACTGTTCTAAGTGGGCCTAAAAATTTGAAAAAATATACCATAATAAAGATTGTGTGATACACAACAAAATTTACTCAGACATCTCTTGAATGCAAGAATTAAAAAGATATTAGAATAATAAAAGTTCTTACATAATCAATTAAAAGTAGAACCATAAAACGGATTATCAACCTTCAGGTTGGTAATTATAACAAATTGAATAAATCTCACGAGTTTGAAGGAAATCATCAAAGGACCACAAAGGACTGGCGGGAGGGAGGGAGAATTATTCTCACTATAACGATCAATGGAATTATGACTAAAGATTGTTGTTTTGCAACATCTCATCTCAAACAAATACCTTTCCAATAAGGTTCATCTTTACAAATTCAGGGGCTTTGTTTGATACACCCAACTCAAAATTTTCAACCAGTTTAACATCCACACCATTGTACCCTGTAGCAATGAGTGCCTTAAATGGTTTTAGATGATCAATTGCTTCAAATATACTAACCACATTAAAAAGTATGGATAAATAGATTAAGCAATTCAGTAACTACAAAAATCATAATAATCAATCATAAAAACTTGACTCTCTCATACAATTAACATCCAAACATTAACTTCCTAAGGCATTTCTCAATCAAAATTCATCTTGTTCATCCAAACACAATTTTGTATAACTCATTTCCTACTATTAAAAGGTTAGTACTTCCCCAACCATGTTAAAGAGTATGGGTAATCAGATTAAGCGATTCATGTACAACTCCCCCAACTCAACCTCAGGTGAGCCATACATAGTTCTAATCAAGATCAAGCAAATATTTTTATGGCATTATATGGATTTTCACTTTTTTTGGTGATTACTATTATTAAAATGATAAAATCCTACCCTCCCCCTCCCCTTCCCCTACTATGCTCATTTTTCACCTCTAATCCCCCAATTGGGTTGCCTAAGTTAACAACTCCAACATAAATGACACCACTGCTTTAATTGTAAATTGATAATAACCACTTCATCTTTGATTTTGAGTTCAACAGAAAGTGTCACAGAAATATCAAATATTTTTATTAACAAAAATGATCAAATTTCAAAAAAAAAAAAAATCAGAATGAGAAGTAGAGAGAATAGGAGAAAGGGGAGAGTACTAGAGTGGAAAGGAATTGGAATAGACAGGGAAAGGAAAAAGAAAGAAACAAAAATGCTGAGAAAAGATATAAATAAATGATTATGTTAATTTTGTATTTTTTATTTAAAAATATTAATTTTATTAATTTTTAAATAAAGATATTAATTTTTAATTG